AATATACCAAAATTTTATAGTTTAGCAATGCTTCCAGCAATCAGAGATTATGCATACCTGAGATTCCATGTAACGCCACATCCGTTGATAGATCTGCACTGAGCTGTACTAAATATTTGCAGATTAAAACAACTCATTTCACTTTTACTAATAACTCATAAGTCAGAACTTCCTTCTTTTTCACTCTCCAGGCAAAACAGAGGTATTCGGAAGTAACTGAAATTGTATCAAGTACCAACTGCAACCAGTTACTAGAAAAGGTTTCGGTGGCTCTCTCCTTCGCATGATGCTGAAATGCAAGCTGATGGCAGATTTGTTGTCCTGGTAAATGCCATTGCCAATTTACTACCGAAACGAATGAATGAATCATAGACTGGTTGCCTTACCGCTGGAGTCAGACTAATTTATCATCGAAGCGAAAAATAGAGCGATTGGTTACCCTATCCACTTCGGAAAATATTAAGTTGTCTGTTGTTCGTGAATTATTGGATTTAAAGAAAATAATTGATCATCCGCTTAGTCCGTGTGTTGTTGTAGCTGGGGGTGCAAAAGCAGCTAATAAAACCGAATTGATTAAAACTTTTCAAAATATGCTTTTACTACCAACCTACTGCGCGACAACATGCAACCCCCGTCTGCCACGGATTATGTTACTAGACAAAGTAAGCTTTTGAAAATCTATATCATCATTTTAAAATTCTAAGATCGTTTAAGTATGAAAGCAGAAGAATCTGGTTTTGCTACACTAATCGGGAAGCTTATACTATTCATTCGAGCGATCTTAGTCAAATTAATGTCCGAAATTACTTTGAAAAACTGTGCTGTTGAGCCGCCCTGTTGAATTCCATATTTGATTTTGGTCTGTTTTGCGAGATCTTCCACCGACTCAATTGGTGCTTGCATCTTTTCTAGTGTCAGAAAGGCAGCGAGATTAGCAGTATAGGAAGAAACGATAATCATTGTGAAGAACCACCAGGCGCTGCTTGCAAGGCGACCACTTATTGACCTGTAATTTGGGAATGACTTGTGATTTCACGCACAGAAGCCTCGAAAAATATGCAGACTTTTGGCGAGAAAGCAGTCTTGCGAACCAGAAAGACTGGAAAGCTGAAATTTTAAGATTTTCCTCGCCACGCAGAGCTTAAGTATTTCTAATCTAGCCTCCCGTTTGCGTGATTCTTACGCGTGGGCATTTAAAATTTTTGTGGGAAG